ATGTCAGCAATGGAAGCCATTAGAAAAAATCTGATTGTTGGAGAGAGGGGAAAAACAATAGTGTACAAGTAAATATGTCAGCAAAGGGTAGAGGTCAAATGATAGGTACGTAAAGTGATAACATACACTGTTGAAAAAAATGCTGTCTCTTTTTTTAGCTGTTAGTAGAATAAATTTAATTTCATCGATTTGGAATGATCAAAAAATTTGGTTCATTTATATACTTATCAAATGCAATTCCAAAAAATTTCTAACCCTTAATGAAAATGTGATGCTAAAATTACAATAAATCAAATAAAAAATTAAAGGCTTAATTATTACATGTGAATTGTTAAAGCCATTTGATCAGCTTGTATTATACATTAGAAGAATAGGATAAACAAGAAAATAGAACAGTAGAGTTTTTGATGGTGGATGAAAATAAAGTAAACGCAATAAATGAATAATAGAATCATCGATAAATTCTAAAATTAAATATTCAATTTAAAAAAAAAAAAGTGAAAAAACAAAGGTGCAGAAAAATCAATATTAAATTGTCATAAGATATGATAGAAAAAGCGTACTTATCATTCTTTGTTAATCAGAAATAAAAATATTAATGATAATTTTCTACCTTTTTAAGCAAAAAACAAACGATTCTTATTTACTGTCTCATTTACTTTCTTTTTCTTTTTCCTGTAATTATTCACTAATATGATAGGTAAAATTATTCGACAAGAAACTGAAATTAAATTTTATTTATTTAAGCATCTTATTTTCTTTTTTTTTTTTAAAAACAACTCATTATTCAAAACATGAATACATCTAAGAAAAATTACAAATACTGAAATTTTTCCGAAATTTTGCACAAAATGCTATATTATTTCTGACCTGAGTAATTTGAGTTACGTAAGTTACAATCACTTCAAATGATTAAGTTATATTATGAAATGGGAAGCATATATTAGATATGCAACAAAAATGATATGATCATAAATGATTCATGTTTGTTACATAATTAAAGTGTTAAAGTTAGGGTAAATTATTAATTAATCTTGGACTTAAAATCGTGATTTGAATCTCAAATTTGTGAAAGAGAGGGAGATTGGGAAGTTTCAAACTGTTATAGTTGACACTGCCTTTCTTTTGAAATTTTATGCCCCCAGATACTGTTATTAATTCAGCAATACTATTGATGATATTACTCTTTGGAATATCTCAGGCAATCAACCGGGTAAAACGAATTCCACTTAAACATAGCAATGCTATTAAGTAGTAATTAAATATACATTATTTGATGACAATAAATGGCAAATAACAACGGAAATGCATGCATTATATCTAATTGATGAAAGTCAATTTTTGTGCGACAAATAATTAGCTATTAATTAATTGATCAATTAATCAATCAATCAAGAAACCAATCATTTAATCAATGAATGAAAATTCTGATATCAAAATTTATAAATCAAGGCGAGACATATGTAGGCGAGGAAAACTGTTAGCATTGCATTGGCCAGCATTCTATCGCTAAATTCAAATTGTGGTCGTCCCTCAAATACAGCCTGAAAACTTTTTGCTAGCAAATGTTGCTGATATATTTGCTTCCAAAAATTTTTCTGTCACAGCCATATTTGCAAATAAACAATTACCATACTTTATTTGTATATTTTTGGCATGCATGCAAGTTAACTTTATGCAGACCAGAAAGATTAAAAACACACAAATATATGATACAATTCCTGAACTGAATATGCTGAAGTGTTACTGCAAAAATTTTCTTCAACAAATGTATGATAATGTATCAATGTCACTTTAGAATTCTAAATATGATAATTTTTATTGAAGGAAAAAAATCCGGAGAAAATGGCATGCGATTAATTTGTACAACTAATATTTGCAATTTTTTTTTAAAGTCTTTATTAAAATTGGTATCAATTCCACTATGACATAATAATTAATTAAGGTTAATTTTTTTCCTTGCTGCTGTGAATCAATAAATATCATTGAGAAAGCATGCTGTACTTAATTATTAATTAAAAACATTAATTAAACCATCAATTTCCTTGCAAATTCGAATTAAAATTAATTATTTCCCTATACTTTATAATATTTATGCCAATGATGGTAACAAAAGTTTCATAAAATCATAAAAATAAAGAACATAAAATTAGAATTCATTACATAAAATCCGTATCTCTTTACACAACTAAACTTAGCATATCTCCTTACGTTAAAACTCCGAAATTTAAAAGGAAGTATTAATAATTAAATGGGTGTATTGAAACAAAAAATCACGTAAGTAAACTTCACGTAACTTGTACAAGTGCAAGTGTGCTGCATGCTGTGACCTGTTGCATGCAGCATATTGATGCGTGTTGGATTTTTACCGCTAATGTTTTCAATAATTAATAAAGGATGCATTTATAAAGTAAAATGGATGCAAAAGCTATAAAAAATTAAGAATACAAAATTTATGAAATTTACAAAATAATGGAAAACTTTCGATAAAAATTCTTTTTTTAAAACAGTATTTGACAACTTTCACTGTTCTAAACTTGAATAAACATTGGGATATTATTATGGATAAATTAAAGCAAGATAAGCAAATAGAAAAAGGAAATGGTTGGATTTAATTCTATTTTATTTTTAATAACTTTTCCTTTCGTCACCATCGAGCATTGCTAATTAGAAAATTAAAGATAAAAAGCGACATTAAAGAGACAAGAATGTTAAATCTCACTTATCAACAAAGTGCGATATATTTCTTGATTTGCACGATCTTTTAATTGATCTTGATGACTCCTTATCAACTTAATAAACAAGTACTGAAGTGGGAAAAATTGCTGCAAAAAAAAGGAAGAAATTGAAAGACGAAGAGCTAACAAATATTAATTTCAATTAAATTAAATTGATCGATTTGAACGATCTAGCAAAAGTATGCTTAAATTTCACAAATTTGTAGAATGCTAAAATTATAGTAAAAAGTTCTCATAAGCTTTGAATTATTTCTGCACTGCATGATGGACATTCTGAATTCTGAAAGTTGATTTCTTTTCCGGTCTTAAAATATCCTAATTCTGACTTAGTACATGCAGGAATGATTAAACAGAGTATCATCTATTAAAAAAAATCAGTGGGATCGATTGATCGCCCGGTCATTCAATTAATCAATTAATTAATTAAAGTTGACAGCCTTTATTACAATGACCCTAGCAAATGGTGCGAAAAAAGAATAAGGATAGAAATTAAAAATTAGTTTTTAGAAAACTTTTTGTGCATTGAAATATACCATAAATAGGCTATTTATTACTTAATTGGCAAAATTCTGATTTGGATCGTTGTTTTCATTAAGTTTTTGATTTTAGAAAATCAAAACTTCGAAGTTTTATTATTATTTCAAGTTCTCTAGGGAAGAAAAAACGAAGTAGACTTCAAATTTCCGAAAAAATATTCCTACAGGAAAAAAGTTCACTAATTGATTGAAGCCAGTCATCCATATAGAATTTTCTAATATATCGATGAAATAAAAATTGTGGTCAATCCTTCAGCACTCCGAACTATTGCTTACGAGTCAGCTGGTAGCGTCACTAATAGCTGTTCATATTGTGCCAATAAACCTTCCACCACCGCCGTATGGAAGGCTTCCAGACCTGCTAATGTTGCCTTTCTTCTTCCATAACTCGGACTCTTATAATCCGGTCGTTTCTAAAAAATGTGAACAAACGTATGTATATATGT